TGGCCGAAGGTGGGAGTGTCAGGGCAGAGCAAGCTTGTTTAGTAAGGCATGCATTTATTGCATTCATATCTCACTTTTTCTCTAAGGAGCTCAAGGTATTTTGCGTGCGTCTCCCTGTGTAATACTTATAACAACCTTGTGAGGTGGGAAAGTGATTGGATCTGGGTCAGCCAGCAAGTTTCATGTGTAAGTGGGGATTGGAACCCAGGACTCCTCAAGTCCTACGCCAACGCTCTTAACCACTGCACAGATGGGAGCGGGCTGGATTTGTATATAAAATTTAAGCGCTTTTAATTTTTATTTGGTACAGCATAAAATAGACAATTAGAAGAAAAATCATTTCCCATCCTCTGCAACCATGCAATAAATAAAAGGATAAAAAATAATTACCATTTTAATAATAATAATAAAAATGTGCCAGGTTGTCCGAGAAAACAGATAAAATTCTGCAGCTAGGATGTAAACAAAATCCATTTCTAAATTATTGGCAGGCTGTTTATTTTTTGCTAATGCTTTAGGTCTCTATTGATCCCAGTTTGGATGAATGAAAACAATTGGTCTCTTCTGAACTGCATCTTCCTTCCCTTGAATCTCAATGGCTGGGTAAGCTTAAAAAGGTAAAGGGTAAAGGGACCCCAAGAGCAATTTCTTTCATGGTTTGTGTAGGCGAATTTGCTGTTCTTCATGCCTTTGCAAACAACTGTAATGGCAGCAACTACAGCCTAACAGCACATCCTATACATGTGTTCCCAGAATTTATAATTGAGTTAAAAGAGGTGGATAGATTTGGAGCCTTGCTCTTCAGTATATTTATCTGAGACTGCAAAGACAAGTTAAGCAGGGGGAGGGGGGAATATAACAAAAATGAAACTGACTCAATAAAATTTCAATTTGCTACCTAATTGGTGGGGGGGATTCCATTCAACAATTAAAAAACATGAATATATAAGTCATAAATATTAAATCAGTACATTCCCACAGTACAATCATTTCAGCTGCAGGTGTGAACCCAGTCCTGTGCATGTTTACTCAGAAGGCTGCAGCTCTAGTCCCTCTTACCTGGGAGTAAGTCCCATTGAATTCAGTGGGGCTTACCTTTGAGTAGTCATGGCTAGGTTTGCAGCCTAAGTTCCTGTCAGTGAACAGAGAGGAAATTTAAGAAAAAGGTGACCAGGGGTGGGTGCAGCCATGATAGAGGTATATCAAATTATGTATGAGTGTGAAGAATTTGGACAGAAATAATTTTCTGTCTCCCATAATATTGGAGCTTAGAGTCTTGTTTCCAAACAATAGTATGCAATCCTAGGCATATCTGTTACCTCTACTTCTTGGGTTTAAAAAAGGTAAAGGTACCCCTGCCCGTACGGGCCAGTCTCGCCAGAGCAGCGATGTCACGCTGGCCACGTGACCCGGAAGTGTCTCCGGACAGCGCTGGCCCCCGGCCTCTTGAGTGAGATGGGCGCACAACCCTAGAGTCTGGCAAGACTGGCCCGTACGGGCAGGGGTACCTTTACCTTTTTTAAAGTCTTTTCTACAAATCAGTTACATTCAATATGAGACATTAGTGTTGAGTCTGTTATTCCCGTGTCCGCAACACAATGCGTATCTAAGATATGCCATGAAATCCAAACTGGGCAGTGTTTTGAGTTGTTGCCTTCCCAAATTCATCTCTTTCCTCACAGGTTTATCATAGACTACAATCATAAAGTTGGAAGAGACCATAGCTGTCAACTTTTCCCTTTTTTAAGGGAAATTCCCTTATTCCGAATAGGATTCCTCACAAGAAAAGGGAAAAGTTGACAGCTATGGAAGAGACCCACAAGGATCATCTAGGCCAAACTTCTGCAATGCAGTAATCTTTTGCCCAAGTGGGACTTGAACCCAAGACCCTCAGATTAAGTTTATTGTGCTCTACCAACTGAGCTGTGTGCAGTTTCTCCCCATTTTCCACCCACCCAAAAAACCTTCTTTAAAAGTTCAACTACTCTGTAGCACGGCGGGATGCGGGTGGTGCTGTTGTCTAAACCACTGAGCCTAGGGCTTGCCGATCGGAAGGTCGGTGGTTCGAATCCCTGCGACGGGGTGAGCTCCCATTGCTTGGCCCCTGCTCCTGCCAACCTAGCAGTTTGAAAGCATGTCAAAGTGCAAGTAGATAAATAGGTGCCGCTCCGGTGGGAAGGTAAACGGCGTTTCTGTGTGCTGCTCTGGTTCGCCAGAAGTGGCTTAGTCATGCTGGCCGCATGACCCAGAAAAACTGTCTGCAGACAAACGCCGGCTCCCTTGGCCAGTAAAGCGAGATGAGCGCCGCAACCCCAGAGTCATTTGCGACTGGACTTAAGTGTCAGGGGTCCTTTACCTTTTCAATCTGTAGCACAATCCTACACCTCTTCAGTGTGTCCTACTGCATTTGGTGTGGTTTACTCCTAAGTAAGTATGCATGGGATCATGGCCTTAGAGATGATTCACAGAACTGAACCTAGCTCCAGCTGTATCTTGAGTTAAATTAAGTTACATTAAGGATTACATTTAAAATATATATAATGAGTTGGGTGGGGGGGGGAGTTTAAGATAACTTTTCTTAAGAAAACCAGAAGCTTTCCTTTTGGGAATAATGGGATTAGAGATACCTAAACAACATAAAAGTTTATTTATGTATGCAACCACAGCAGCTCATACGATATTTGCCCAAAGGTGGAAAGAAAACAAAAGTCCTGACCAAAGAAGAATGGCAACAAAAACTATTGGAATATCCAGAAATGGCGAAACTTACCGGAAGAATAAGAAATCAAGACAAAGTATTTTATAGATAGTGGAAATCATTTAGAATATATTTTCAGAATCCTTGTAAACAGATTAAATCATTAGCAGGATTGATGTAAAGACATGCAGTGACGTAACAATTATTGAATGAAATGAAATAAATAATAATTAGGTTTAACTTGGAAATGCAGTAAAAGTATTATAAATATAAGCATTAAAAAATTGTCCAGTATCACCTTATAGACCAACTAAGTTTGTTCTGGTATAAGCTTTCGTGTGCATGCACACTTCTTCAGATACAACTTAGTTGGTCTATAAGGTGCTACTGGACAATTTTTAATTTTTTTCATTTGTGCACAAATGAATACAAGCTTAAAGTATTTGCAGACGATGTGGTATTAACATTAGAAGAACCTCAGACCGGTGTAATTGGAGCACTGGAAGTAATTGGAGGGTTCGGGCAATTGGCAGGTTTAAAATTAAATAAAGCCAAAAACAAAATGTTGGTCAGAAATATGGTTCAAAAACAAATTGAAGATCTACAAAATAAAATAGAAATTATGGCAGTGAAAAAGATTAAATATCTTGGCATATGGTTGACCTCTAAAAATATCAATTCATTTAAGGATAACTGTGTCAGACCAACACGGCTACCTACCTGAATCTATAAATATAAGCAGCTGCAGAAAGAGGGGGAAGGAGGTTGAAATGAGATATTGAAAACAGATGCGGAAAATGTTATGTTTGT